GGGGGGGGAGGAAGGATAGGATAGGAAAGGAAAAGGAGGAAAGGAAGGGAAGGGAAGGGAAAGAAAAGAAGGGAAGGGAAGGGAAGGAAAAAAGATCTATAAAGAAGTAATTCTGGTCTTCTCTACAGCAGTTACAAACAATTGATCTCCTGATAGACAGACAGGCCCCCAACTTCCCCTACCTAAGCTGGCATGTCGGTAGAGTGAAAGCCCCCCCCAGGCCTCCAACATTTTAGCCTGAGATGCTGCTTCGGGTCTCGGAGGGGCCATTAATATAATCCCCCCCCTCCAACCAGGCTTCGCCCCAGCGGCTCGGGGCGGCCCTCCAGCTGGCTCAGCCGCGCGTCTTCAGCACCCTGGAGAGCGGCCGGGAAAGGCGCCACGCGGCGGGGCCGACGCCCCCAAGCGCGCCTCTTCTCTCCCCCCCCCCCCAAAAAAAATCCGTTGTGTATGTTGTTGTTGACAAGTTGTGCCGGATGTCACAACGGCCCACCCAGCTGCCACGGAACAAGCCGGACCCCAAAAAAACCACACACACACACACACACACACAATTTCCCAAAAGCAAACTCGCCTTTGGACAGAGACAGGGTGCATGTCCCTTTAAGAAATCCAAGAAATATTGCCTAAATTAATGTAATAAGTGATTCAGAAGAATCGGCCCGGGATGGGAGACCACAGGGAAAGCCCAGAAGACTAGACGAGGCCGGGGAAGGACTGATAAATCAGCTGCAGGTCTGGTCTGGGTTCAAATGCTACCTCTCAACAGGACCTGAAGACTTCCCCCTCCCACAATTGAGCTGTCAGCGTGGTCTGGAGGCTGGGAATCTTCTCCCCCAGGGGAGGGGGGGCTGGGATCATTGAGGGAGGGTCTTTTGTGCTGTAGAGACCCTTCGCTTCTCCTCCGACCGTCAAGAGGCACGTGCTACAGCCAAGCCTTCTGTTGCTCCAACGGACTTTTTCGCAAGCCGTAGTGGGCACGGAGTGGGCACAGCTGCCCTGGGGGGTGGGTGACTGCCGGCCTCTATCAACAAAGATGGTCAGGGGTCTCTGGACAGCCACTTTATCCGAGATGGTCTTCTGCTTTGAGCAGGGGGGGTTGGACTAGAAGACCTCCAAGGTCCCATCCAGCCTCTATGGATTGTGGTTGGAAATGTCTTGGTAGAGATGGCTGCAGCCTCTAACTTGGGTGTCCTAAGAAGAGGGATGATGTTTAATGACCTCTTTGGATTTATTATCTGAGTCCTGCCTAACTTTTGCACACACACACACACACACACACACACAGAGGGGAGCAGAGAGACCGGTCTTTTTTTTTAACCACAAACATAGGCAAACACAAACATAAAAGAACAAATAAAACCTTCTTTCAATTATACAGTGTGTCGGTTGGTACATATTTCTTGTGCACAATATCTATAGTCTTTTCCCCTTAGATTTAAGTTTACATTCCTATTACATTAGACAACTTTCCATGTCATATTATATGATGATTACATCCTCATTAGACTTTAATTTCAAATCCGCATTATCTTTAGAGCAACCATCGATTCTTACTCATTTTAATTCATATTATAATCCATTCTATCATCATCAATTATAACGTATCATTGCCATTGTATTATAGAGACACCCGTTTCTTAACGGAGCCCACCCACCCAATTTGGAAGGAGGGGGGGAGGGGAGGGGAGGCGTGTCTCTTAAAACCTTTTGAATGGCAAAACTAACGGAAGCAGCCAAAGTTCGTTTGAGAGCGGCGGCTTTTAATAGATGGTCTTTAGCGCCGCCTTGTGGTCTAAATAGAGTATTGACCTTTCCCTAACAGATCCCCCGACTGGATCTTCTGCAGGTCAGAAAAAATATATTTCTTTCCTTTCTTCACCCAAGAAAGAAAAGAAAACAAAAGAGTGGAAATTTCAATCTGGATCTTGTAGCACTTTCTCCAACTTGGCAACTTCGAGAAGGGTGGACTTCAACTCCCAGAATTCCCCAGATGACAAGTTACGAGAAGGTTTTAAGGCAGTCTCGTATTATCTGAGATTAAAATTAATCAATGTTAATAAATTACTAATAATAAGATAAAATCAAAGAATAAAGTGAAATGAAATGAAATAAAGTATAAAATAAATATAATATAAATACAATTAAAATAAAATAAAAATTAATTACATTAATTTAAATAATTACATTAAGTTACGTTGCGTTAGATTAAGTTCCGTTTCATGTCCAGTTTTGAGAATTGGGGTTTTGTGGTTAGGACTGGTAAGAGATTGGGGGGTGTGTGTGACAGCATCACAATTCCCCAGCGTCCGTAGAGATGGGCTGGCATCAGCTCCTTGGAATCCCTTTCCACCTCCCCCTTCAACCCTGCCCTGCATCTCCGCTTGGTCTCCTTTCCCTCACTCCTCCTCCCCTCCAAACCTCCTCCTGCAAGGACCCCCCCCACGTGCAAGGAAGGTGGGCCAAAAAGGCGGAGCCTCGGAACCAGCCTTTTTTCAGCCCAGCTGCTCCCGAAAGGGGTGCACTCTGTCCATGCTCAGAGGCCAGGAGCCACCCAGGTGCTGAAGGACAGCTCCCGGAGGTTGCGCTAGTAGTCGGAGAAGGCAGAAAGGGGGAGGGAGGGGCCGGGGGTGGGAGAAGCCCCCTCCTGCGGCCAAGGAAGGGCGGGGCCTCCCTCTAGGGGGTGGGGCCAGAGCCTCCCCCCCCCCTTGCCCTCCCTCCGGCCGAAGCTCCCGCAGAGCCGGCCGGGCGCCAGGCGAGCGCTATGGCCGGGGAGCGCGCCCTTCTAGCGGCTCGCCAGGGCGATCTGGAGGCGCTGAAGGCGCTGCTGCCTCCGCCGGCCGACCGCGGGGTCCCTCTGCTGCCCCCCGCCGCCCTCCGGGACCCCCTGGGCGCCTCCCCCGTGCACCACGCCGCCCGCGCCGGGAAACTGCGCTGCTTGCGCTACCTGGTGGAGGATGCCGCGCTAGGCGCGCAGGGCCGGGCGCGCAACGGGGCCACCCCGGCCCACGACGCCGCCGCCACTGGCCACCTGGCCTGCCTGCAGTGGCTGCTCGGGCCCGGCGGCTGCCGCGTCCAGGTGAGCCCCTGAGCATGGGCAGAGGGCCGGCGGGTGGGCGGGCGGGCGGCGCGGGGCAGGATCGCGAGGAGATGGCGGCGCGGGCGCTTCAGATTGTTGGAGACCCCAAGAGGGGAAACGAGGGGGTCTCTTTCTGCCCCCCCCCACTCTGTCCACCCGGCTTGCATGAGGTGGCTGCCCGGCCCGAGTCCAGGTTAGCCTCTGAGCACGTACAGAGGGCGGGGAGGAAGCGAAGAGGCAGGATGGGGGGGGCGAGGGTCGCGGCGCGGGCGCTTCAAACCGTCTGCTTCAGTCCCCCACAGCGGGAAATTGGGGGTCTCTACCTGGACAGGTAGAACTTCTTCTCCACTCGCCCCTCTGGCCTCCCTCCAGCTTGCCCGAAGGTGGGCGAGAAACCGACGCCGTGTTGGATTCACACAATCTCTCAACCCCGACTCTGATCGCAAGGGGCGTGGCGGAGGTCCAGTTGAGACGTTTGCCGCGGGAAGGAGCCGTGTCACGGGTCACCCCGTTCCCAAGACACGGAGAGACCCCCGGCCCCATATTCTCACAACACTTTGACCCACCTTGTGGCTTAACTAGCACGTGGGACCAGCTCGACTTTCTGGCTCCGGAGTAGAAAGAAGAATGAAGAATATATATTTTTTTCTCTCTCCAAAATGTAGCATATTGTAGAAGGTAAATTATTGGCCTGTGTGTGTTCATAGATTGAACACTACCTCTGAGCATGTGCAGAGTGGGAATTGCCTGAGCTAAGCCAGCGAACATTTTAAAGACTTTTTTAAAAAAAACTTGGAGCGTCTCATCAAGCCAGTCGTTGCTTGTTGGAAACGGGACAAAATTGGTGAAATGCCCAATTCTTTGGCAAACCATCTTTAACCATCTTTTGCTTCTTAATGCGGTGTCGAAATCCAGTTCTCCCTTCAGGTTTTTAAACATATTTTTGTGTAATTTTCCAGCCTTTTATTATTTTAGTTTTATTTGTTTGTTTCTTGTTTATTTTATTTTTTAACAAAAATAACAGAACATTTGGAAGGAACTTTGGAAGTCTTCAAATCCAACTCCCTGCTCAATTTTATTTTAAAAATTACTTTACTTTACTTTACTTTACTTTACTTTACTTTACTTTACTTTACTTTACTTTACTTTACTTTACTTTACTTTACTTCACTTCACTTCACTTCACTTCACTTCACTTCACTTTACTTTTGTTGCGTCCTTTGACTTCCATGAATCTTTGCCTTCCAAATTGCAGAAAACAACGAAAAAGGATTAGCTAAAACTCCCTTTCCCTGAGTCTAACAAGTTTGTTTTGATGGCTTCCATTCACACAACCCTTTACACTAAACTAAAGTGAGGTTGGGTAATTGGTGTGTAAGTTGGTGGGGAGAACCCAGCCAGTCCCATTTTGTAGGACCTGCAAAATTGTGTAAAGCTGTTTGCTGCAAACCCGGGACTCGTTTCTGGTTAACCTGGGTTTAACAAGTTGTGTGAATGCGACCTTCCAACGGATGGAGCAGCAACCGTATCCTATCTCTCTCCTTCCTTCCTTCCCTTTTCTCATCCATCCCTTTGTCCTTCTTCCCTCTCTCCTTCCTTCCTCCTTTCCTTTCCTTTCCTTTCCTTGTCGTGCGTGGCCCAAATTTTGCCAAACCTCCTCGGAGTTGTGACGCCCTCGCCGTCTCCGTTCTTACAGGATGCGGATCATTCGGGCGCCACCGTCCTGCACCTGGCCGCCCGCTTCGGCCACCACGACATCACCGACTGGCTCCTGCGCTTCGGGGGCAGCGACCCCCTGGTGCCCACCGAGACGGGGGCCCTGCCTGTCCACTACGCTGCCACCAAGGGAGACCTTCCTTCCCTGCATCTCATCCTCGGACACTGTCCCAGGTAAGGGACCGCCTCGCTAGGTTGGCGCCACTTTCCCGACGCAGAATGGAGCATGTGTGTGTGGGGAGTATTTCCAACAACAGTTGTTTCGGAGCGAAGCATGACAGACAGTCCTCGAGTTACGACTGTCACGGAACCCCGAATTTCCTTTCCTAAGCGAGGCTTATTTGCCCTGTTTTACGACCTTCCTTTGGGCCCCTGTTAAGCGAATCACTGCAGTTCTTAAATTAGTCGCTCGGTCATTAAGTGAGTTTTGCCTCATTTGATGACCTTTCTTGCCCTGGTCGTTAAGTGAATTTGCTTGCCCCAGAAGGTTGCAAAAGGGGATCGGGGGACTCCGGGACGTTGCAACCGCCATATATGTGAGTCGGTTGCCAAGCACCTGAATTTTGATCACATGACCACGGGGATACTGAGACGGTTGTAAGTGTGAAACACGGCCATAAGTCACTTTTTTCTTGGCCATTGTAACTTCCATGAAAGGAAGGAAGGAAGGAAGGAAGGAAGGAAGGAAGGGAGGGAGGGAGGGAGGAGAGAGAAAGGGAGAGGAAAGGGAGAGAAGGAGGAAGGAAGGAAGGAAGGAAGGAAGGAAGGAAGGAAGGAAGGAAGGAAGGAAGGAAAGGAAGGAAGGAAGGAAGAGCTTTCCTCCAGAAGTTGTGGGTGCTGCATCCCTGGTGTCCTTCAAGACTGGACGGCCATTTGTCTGCAGTGGGATAGCATCTCCTGCTTGAGGAAGGGGTTGGACTAGAAGACCTCCCAGGTCCCTTCCAACTCTGTTATTCTGTATTCCCGCCTGATGCGTTCAGTGATGTGTTATGTTGCCACGACTTCTGCTATCACGTCCATGTTGGCCTCCGGGCAGAAAATGCACTTCCAGATTTCACCAGGCGAAAGAGAGTTAAGGCTAACCATCATGTAAGTTAGGTCAGGTCGGTTGCTCTGCAAACCATGTTAATCGCTGGTCAAGGGAGGTTACACCCAGCCTCAAGGACCGGCCCCGTGCCTCAGTGTCCCCCAAGGCAGAATGCGAGGTCCCTTGGCATTCCCGCCGCAGCTGTGCAAAGGATGTCCCAAGCGCCTCGGGCACAATCCTGGTTTTGCTCGCATCCTGGTTTGTCTCCCTATTAGTTCAGCTTGTTTTCTGCATCTCTGACAGCTTTATGGGCAGGGGGGAGGGAGGGAGGGAGGGAGGGAGGGGCGCGTGGGCTTCGGAGTCCCAATGGAAATGTAGCCCATGGGGCTTTGCAAAAGGCTGATAACACAGTGGCCTTTGTGTCTGCGGGTGTTATGTAAAGGGATTGTGTGCCAGGCGGGGGTGGGGGGAGGCTCCTCAGATGGGGAGGACAGCCAAAATTTGGGTGGGCAGGGAAGGGAGGGGGGAGGAGGGGGAGGACAGTCAGGGAGGGGGAGATTGAGGGAGGAGAGGGAGAAATCTGAGCCCCCGTTCTCCTGAGACGGGTGAGGTGTGTGCGTTGCTCTCTGGCCACATTGGGTGGGTGTGTAAGCTGTCATGTGGGTGGCTTGAGAGACACACAACTTCCTTCCCTCCTTCCCTTTTCTCATCCATCCCTCTTTCCTTCTTTCCTCTCTCTATTTCCTTCCTTCCTTTTCCTTCCCTTTTCTCATCCATCCATCCCTCTTTCCTTTCTTTTCCTTTCTTTACCTCTTTTCTTTCCTTCTCTTGGTTTGTCATCCATCCCTCTTTCCTTCATTCTTCTCTCCTTCTTCCCTTTACTTTCTCATCCATTCCTCTCTCCTCTTTCCTTCCTTCCTTCTCTTTCTTACCCCTCCCTCTTTTTCTTTTTTTCATCCTCTCCTTTCCTCCCTTCCTCCCTCCTTCCTTTCCTCCCTCCTCCCTCCTTGTCTGCTTCCATTATATATTCATACACACACAGAGATAGACAGACAGACAGACAGACACACACACACACACACACATAATATAAATATAAATATAAATATAAATATAAATAATATAAATATATATATATATGAATGAAAAGAGGGAGAATTCCTTTGCAAACCAGACCTTTTTAAAAATCCAGTTCAATCCACCCTCAAAGCGTAATGCCAGAGGTGGAAGGGACCTGAGAGGTCATCTATCCCAACCCCCACCGCACCCCTGCCCTGGAAAAAAGATCACCACCATAGCTTTTCCAGCCAAAGCCCACCCAGCTTCGGTTGAATACCTTACTTAGAATTGAACTCCGGCCAAAGAGCTAATATAAAATCACTCCGGCTGTGAAAATAGGTCAGCGGGATCCTTTTGAACTGCGCCGCACAGTATGGGACAGATTAGAGGCTTTTTAATCTCATTTTCCACGGCGAGCCAACACGGTTCAGCCACAAATAGCCCTCGGAGCGAAGGCGGCTCGGAAGGGTAATTAAAAAACCTGCAAGATACGTTCTTCCTGCCAGCCCAAAACCAACTTAAAACCAAAAAGAAAGTAAAGCACAGGGTGTCTTTTGCCGTGACGGTTAAGGGAATTGCTTCCGTTGTTAAGTGAACCTTGCTGTCGTTAAATGAATCTAGCTTCCCCATTGCTTCTGAAAAGGTCGCAAATTTGGATCACCTGATCCCAGGACGTTGCAACCATTGTAAATACACACCGGTTCCCTGCAACAGTCGTAACTACGAGGGCCTAAGCCACTTTTTAAAGAACAAGTGGCCTTAAGTCGAGGACTTCCTGCATCGACCCCACAAGTCTTTAAAATTCATGGCAAGGTTTCTAAGGGACGTTATGCAGCTTCCCTCCCTTTTGCTTCCAAATATCGGCAATCCTTCGCTTCTCTCCCTTTTCCTCGCAGGAGATCTGAGGATTACGTCCCTTCAAAATCCGGCAAGAATTTGTAAGACCTTGATAGGATTAGCCAGTGTATCGGCACGCCATTCTGCCGCAGGTCACACTGTCTGGTTTGGTAGTTTAGGATAGAGAGATTCAGGTGACGCGGGTTGGCTGGTCCCATCTTCGTTCGGACCTCAAATAAATACTATTTAAGACAGACAGACAGACAGACAGACAGATAATTATACGAGAACATGTATATATAATGTGCCATTTGTCAGAAATGGTGTAGGGCAGGGCGGGTTGGACTGGATGACCTCTAAGGTCCCTTCCAACTCATCGGTCAATCTGTTAATGAGACCTAACTGATTCCTGCAACCCTTCTTTGTCTATTTTATGCTCTTAATTGGATTTTTTTCCCTTTTTCTGCCACCGTAAACCAACGGGGAGTCTGTTCCTCGAACGTTTTTGCCTTCCTTCCTTACGACATGAATGATTTACAGCCAGGCAAGAACGATCTTTCAGCGGACTTCCACCCCCCCCACCCCCCACACAAACGACAGCTTGATCCCGGACTCGGTTACTGGTTAGTGCAACCGGATCCCTCCCAGGCTGCCAAGAAACATGGATGGTGGCTTATACAAGGGAGGTTTAGCAAACACAAACCGCCTTCGCATCTTGGCTTATTCTACGAATTTAATGTATTGTGTAATATTGTGTAAAATTCCTCCTTAATTTCAGGTTGCTTCTCTCCTTGATGAGTTAGGACCATTGGTTGAGTTAGATGACTTGAATATAGGACCACTTTTCACACTTACGACCGTCGCAGCACTCCTTGCGGTCCCTGATTCAAAATCCAGAGGTAACTGGCATGGTCTTATGACGGTTGCAGCATCCCGGAGTTACGTCCCTTTGGTGATAACGACCAGGGCCAAAAGGTAGTGAAATTGGGGAGGGGTGCAAAACTACCTCCCTTAGCCTCAGAAATGTGGCGCTCAGCGGCGGTCATAAGTCAAGGACCACCTGCATTGCAGAACTCAGGGATTTCACTTCATACGTCAAGCATTTAGGCGGCTGGACTGGATGCTCTTCGAGAGACCCCTTCCTAAACCTCATGCCATACTGGGCTCTCACTGGAAACATGCCTGGGTTTCGGGGTCAGACTAAATGACCTCCCAGGCGCCCTTTCCAACTCTCAACATCCTTTGACCACATTTTCTGCCTTCCGGCCGGCCTGGTAACCACATCCTTTACACCTTAAAAATAATCTTTTGTGGGTTTTTTGGCTCAAAATCTTCCAGGGAGGGGGGGGGGGGGGGAGGGGGGAAAGGGGGGGGGGGGCAAGGGAGGAAAGAGACCACCAGGTGTTCCATTGTCCCTGCCTGCTTTTTTATCGCTGTGTCCTCTTTTTGTGTCCCTATAGCTAATCTGCAGCCTGGCACAATAGCAGCTGCCTGGAGGGATCTGATTTACGATGATGCCCGCCTCGCCAAGCGACGCCAGGCAGCACAGATAGCCATTATCGCTGCCTTTGCAGCTTCCGGGGGGGGGTCTCTTCCCCCCCAATCCTGGAACACCCACCCCTCTGTCCAGGGCAGTGAAGGATAGGAAGCGCCTGGGAGAAGCTCGGCCTTCTCCAAGCCGCCCTCGAGTTACGACCACGAGTTGCGCCCCAAACTTCCTGTCAGTAAACGAGACGGGTCCTAAGTGAGTTTTGGCTCCCGTTCTTTGACCGAGCAGGAAACCCTGTATATACCATTCAATTCTGGACAAATTATGGTCCAGCGTCTTCTTTAAAGGCAGCCAGTAATGAACCGGTTCTTTCTTTCTTTCTTCTTTCTTTCTTTCTTTCTTTCTTTCTTTCTTTCTTTCTTTCTTT